CTTTTTTGTATTTCAAATAAAGTGTCAACAGTTTCTATTGCTAAAAACTTTCCTAAAACTATAATAAGTGCCTGCTAGCCTACTTTCCGTTGTGTTTTGATTTTTTATATTTTTGATTTTTTATCTAAATTGGAGATCAGCGGAAAGAGTTGATTGACAAATTTGTACTTTTTTTGATTATGTATAACAATATAAATAATATACTAATAATAATAATAAAATAATAACTAAAAATAACGAATAATAAAATAAAATAAAATAATCATTCTATAACAACAGTATTAAGTATTAGAAGTTCTTTTAGAACAAAGTGTAATTTATAAATAAACTTGTGTTTTTTTTTTGAAGAAACACATAATATTATGATATTTTAATTTCCAATGAGTAACAATGCCAAGATTACTTATTTGATACTTTTGATAATAAATAAAGTCCTATTTGACTTTAATTCAATGTTGTAACCTATATCTGATAGCTAATAAATGCATTCTTTTTAATACTTATGATAAAATTTAACTCTATACATTTTATCACCATCACCTATCTTAGTGAATTTTTGCAATTGATGAAACATTACTAACTTTATTTTGATAGAAATATCTGATTATTAGTTGCATTAACAATACCCACATATGCAGACTTATACTCTTGATGAACACTCATATTTATTCCTTTCATCACCAGTTCCGTTTTGATAACAATCTCCAAGATTATTTTGTTCAGCCGAATCATGGCTTTCAAAAAATTATAAATACTATTCGAAGACTTCTTTTCATCTTTTGCAGATTTTATATTATAGGCTTATGCTATTAATCAGAGTTACTGTCTTTATCAAAATTTAAATATCACACAAATATTTTTTTGAATTCTTATTTTCTACAACCACTTTTCATTCAATTTTTGCCTACAGACTTCTGAAAATTTATAATACAATGTCTAACAATCCATGCTCATTAGTATCTTCTGCATCAACAGTTCTTAGATAACATATAAAAGTTTTATCTTACCTATTAAACATTCCTTTTGCAGATTCTGATATTATACAAGATAGTATTCAGAATTTAGACATAATTTATATGTGCAATTTGTTGCTTACTTTAAATTGAAATTATGATGTCAAATAGTAACAAATGATATAATGATAATGAAATTATTACTTACACCTATAAATTTAACACGATATGTTTTAAAATCATATTAATGTATGAATTTTTGTAAATTAAAGAACATCAATTTGAAATAATAAAAATCTATACCATTATTACCAAAGGTTACATATCAAAAGAAACTTTTTTTTTTATTATATCGATTATTATTCCAGTATATCTGAATGCATTGCATGTCCTAGTCATTGCTTTGTTCTTGAAGTTGCCTTAAAGTTTCAATGGCTTTATCCTCAGAGAAGTTATCATATTTAAGTAAATTCTCAAGAAGTTTTTTTTCATTATCATTCATAACCCTACATTGGCACTTTGTGCCTATTTGTTCATATAATTGTTTAGTACTTACAATGTTATTTCCAACCTGATTATTTTGTAGACTTTTATTTTTTACCAGTTCTTTTTTCTGATATTCTGATAGTGAAATAAGTTTATGTACTACTACATTATATTTTCTGCAACCCTCTGTATTTCTTGGTTCAGTTTTGTGTACATCCTGACACAAAATTTCTTGAAGATGAGCTACTACAAGATCATAACATGTATATATACTATAAAACCCTGCCAATGTCATTTCTGATGCATTCATAAAAATTTCATGCCTTTTTGGATCTAACAAAGAGAGAGCAGAGAATAATTCATTGGCTAATTTTCACAAGGCTTCTTTTCTTGATAGTGTTGCCCTTTCATCTTTAACAGTGACTATATCTCCCATATACTCAGAAATCAACAACTCTAATCATTCTCTTTCTGCTTGTGCAAAACTAATTTAAAGCTTCAATTCCTCTGAGTCTACTATCTTATTTCTAATATTTTGTTTCACAAACATTATCCCAAAACATTCTAATGCTTCATCAAAAGCAAAGAAGTGTCCAAGTTAAGTTAAATTAACAGAACAAACACATCATAGTAACTCTTGTAGATGTGGATCTTCATCAACATAAGCTAAGAAGTAGGTTGCTGAGCTAGAATAGTTAATTTTACCAGCAACTGGAAAGAGAGGTGCAAATGCAGCAAGATTTTTCATTTGCATTTCATAGTTTCCTCAATAAATACTAATCTTATGTCCAATCCAATAGCCAATTCAGCAAAAATAACAATAACAAACTCTAAGTACATCATTCAGACTATTTTCAATATCATCCAATTTTTGATTTTTGTTACACAAATACTTGCAGATTGTGATGCCAATAGTGACCCAAATTAATTCTAAAACTCGACTAGTAGCCTAATAATCCATGACACTTTCAAGTTTATCTAAAAATTGAACACTGAGACTTACAGCCATATTAGCAATACCATAACCTAAAAAAATGTTTATTAGCGCAACACATATATCTTTTGACATATGCCATTGACTCAACAGAGGCCTTGCATCTTTATTTTTTTCTTTATATAATATCAACCTACAAAAAATTGCTTGGTTGCAAGCTATGTCTAAACATCCAGTATTACATATTCCTATATCATTGTAAAATAAATCACATGCATTATGAACATTTGCATCACAATTTGGGTTATTTCCAGGACTAAGTATCACAACTTTGGGAGATGGCACCTGGCACTCAATTAAAATGTTTTTAGAAATTTCATTAAAAATACTGTTCATGTCCCAATCCTCAATTTCTGAAGACAAAAGATTTTAAAATACTGTCTCATAAGCTTCAAAGTGATTATTAATATAAGTTAAAGTTCCAAAAAGAGACAGATTAGTTTCATGAGAGCTGTTAATATTTATATAATTGCAACAACACAGTTGCATAGGCATTGTGAACTGGAAAACCATTCTCAATGTAGCATATGCAGTTCTTCGCACTGCATTATAAATATTTTCATATGTGAAAGTCCTTTCTAAAAAATCGATATTATCGATAACCAAGACATTCCATATATATTTACTACGTAATAACCTTGTTTCAGGCTTTGCTTTGTGTCATCAGATCTTTTCAAGGATTCTCTCATGCTGTTGTGTGTGTGATACTACATTGGCGATGCAAAGTATATTATATAGGGAATAGTATAGTTTCAGCTTTCTATACAAAGAACTCATTATGTGGGTTAGCCATATAATCATTCCTGGAAATGCAACATTTAATATCATTGAAACAAGGAATACTGTTATTTTTGTTACACGATCCTTGTTAAAGGCTTTTAATGGTAAGTTCCTTTGTGCTTTTTTTTTTACAAATATATCATGTTTTTTTCGTTGTAAGGTTTCAATGAATTCATTAAAAAAATTAGTAATACATGATGGAAAACCATCTTAATATTCTGTTAATGATCTTGGATTTTCAAGTATTTTTTTTTTTTTGAACTTCGTGTCATGCATTCCATGTTGCAATTCCCAATGCTTTCTCCAAATCTAGAGCTGTTTCAGAGGTAAAATTAAACTTTTGATCTACAATATTTGTCAAATTAACATGTTTCAGTCTTAAAACCATTTTAACAAAAAGAAGGCTGGGTGAATTTGCAGTTACTGGAAATGATTTGATGTCAAAAAATGTTGGCAAAATGGAAGCCAAACATGTTAAGAGAGCTTTTTTTTTACCCTCATTAGCGATTTCGGCTATGTGTAAAATCCAGTGACCCAAAATTCGAAGTCTATTATTCGCATTATTTTTATATAAATGTTCACATTCAAATTTTGGGCTTCCACGGCCCTGTCATTCGTAGAAGTGGCCTCCCTGTTTGATAAAACATTCTGAATATACATATCTAGGTCAGTATTCAGTTCTTTGATTTTTTGTATTATTATCTGATTCCTTTTTATCAAATATTGGGCAAGTTATGAGACCTACACAGAGTATTTGGATATTTTTGCCAAACACATATCATGAATGCTGTACGCAGGTTCTACCTCTGCTAAAAAAATATTTGCATTTGTTGCAAAATAGGCATCTTTGGCAAAATATCCAACTTTCTTCAATTGATCTTTCCTTTTTAATATGTGCATTGTGAAGTTGATTTTGGTCAAAAAGAAAATGCAATTGACAGACCTCCATCATTGATATCTTTTTTAATACTTAAGCTTGTTGAAAATTTTTGGAATCTATTTCTCATACTCCAATAAGTTGGGCAAGTGGTCTTTGTTTTTCAGAATGATCTCTACAGCATTTAATATTACTATTAATAAAATCCAGAATCGGGCAAGCCGATAATTGCTGATTAAATTTATTACTAGTAGTATTCTTGACAAGATACTTATTCTCATCATTTAATCCAGATTCAAGATCGAACACTGAAGATGATACTATATCACTGCTATCTATATCAGTATCAGTATTATTTTCCCTTAAAATATTAATGTCCACTCTTTCATCCACCTTTGCAAGTTCTCATGCTTTGTCAAAGCTATCATAATTAAAAAGAAATGTGTTCAATTCTATGTCGAAGTCAAATTTATCTGCTGTTATACTTTCTGTTATAACACTTTCTGATTCAACAGCCATGCTTGTGCTTTCAGTATTCTCTTCATAATCTTCAGGCACATACTCAAAATTATTGAAAACCATTGTATCAGTGTTATAGATTTTTGATTTGTTTGTATTCATCATTGTTTAAACTAAAGAAAAAAAATGATTCGACTAAAAAAAAAAAGAATTCGACCAAAAAAAAAGAATTCGAATATGTGTTATTTAAATAACATATATTAACTATTACTGTCACTATAAACTATCATAAACTTCTGTGATATCGCTTAATCATCAATCAAAAGACAAATTCAAACATTAAATGTAAAATTGTCATTTTTTAAAAAAAAAAGTTATTCAGTATCGTTCTCAAATATTAAAAAAAAAAAAATTAGGCAACTTTTGCTCAAGATTCTTTTAAAACTAGAAGTGCCCTAGCATATAAAACTAAATTATTTATAAGAGAAAAACACAGAGATGTGCCGAACTTAGGAAGGTATGATAGTATATTTTATACCATAAAGGCATCAACATAGGAGGAAAGTTTGCTTTATGATGATTTTCTATAGAAATTAAATATAAAAATAGTTGTAGATCTTTATCTGATACACTTGCTCACAAATTAAGGAACAAATTAAAAAATTATTGACAAATTTATTATTCTCAGAGGTTGAACTAAGGTTTAAACTGATAAACTTAAGTTATGCCCCGAAAAGTAAAATCAGTTCAATTACCTTAAATTAAGATTCTTTTAAAACTATCAGTACTATAATATAAAAAGTTTGATAATTTGAGAGAAAAAGAAGTAAAGATTTAATTGATTTATCATAATATAGCAAAATATCTTATATTATAAAGATGCTAATATAAGATAAAAATTGCTTTTGACATCAATTTTCTAATATCAACTATAAAAAATTAGATGCATAAACTGATATTGATCTCTTAATTAATATACTTGCCAATAAATTAAGGGACATATTTGTTGATCGCTATACCTGTACATCATAAGTCAAGGTTTTAGATGCCCTTGCAACATCAGGTTGATAGTACAGTAGTATGAAGATAGTAGTACATTTACAATTTGCAAAAAACATAAGTGTTCAAGTTATAGTTAATATCAATTATAAGAGTATACAAAAAAGAATATGTGGTAACTGCGAATCAACAATTCAAAACTTGATAAATTTGATAAAGTAGTTGTTAAAAAAAATCAATAATATTAAGTTAGTATACCAAATTAATAACAAGAAGAGTAAAAAATTATTGAAGTTAATCAATTTTAAAAAAAGAATTATTGCAAGAAATAGATAGGAAAATTGCATATAGTTAGGTGAAGTTTAGAAAAATATAGTATATTAAACATTTACAACTTTATCTTAAGTTAGTAATAACAGATATAATATATAATTATAATGAAAAAAGAAAGTGTAAATGTGATGTTATGTTGGATATCTATAGTAATATAGTAGTATTAATATATAGTAAAATTTATAATGTATTAATTAATATAAATTCAATAAAAATAAAATTACAAGTTGGTATTATAAAAAAATATATATTTATATATTTACAATATTATTTGCATAAAACAATTTCTTAATCATTTAAATTATAATATTCTAAATTAGACATTTTTTTATTATAATATACAAAAAATACCTAAAAAATAAACATCTAAATAATTCAAAATAATTATTGATAATATAATTTTATTAAAATTATTTATAATACTTAGTTATTTTAACTTATATATTTTTATAAATATTAATACTTCTATCTTATAATAAATAATTACTAAATTCTAACTATTCAGAAACATTACAAGTATTAATAACAATTAAGCATTACAATGCTCATTTATTAAATACTTATTATATAACTAATTTTATATTTGAAAAGCTAATTTAAAAATTGAAAACTTAAAATAATTTATTGTTACTTTATTATTCTAATCAGAGTTAATTAAATTACTGTTTAATTAAAATTTTATTAGTTAAACTGGTTTAATCAAATTGGTCAAATAGTTTGATCAAATTGGTCAAATAGTTTGATCAAATTGGTCAAATAGTCTAGTTTATTAAATAAATAATTTTATATAATATACAAATAAATTTTTTTTAGTATTAAGGTGAGGCCTTGCTTATATCTTTTTTTTTAAATTTTAAGATAAGTACTTGTGATCCAGAATTTTATTGATAGTATATTTAACTAATAGTTGTATTATAACTACAAAGGGCAATTATGAAAAGAGTATACAACTAGCCATTTGTACAACTTTAGTTATTATCTAATTTAAGTAGTCTGTCTAAAGGTCTACATTAGTTGCCATATCTGAAATCTGCCTATAGGTTCCCTATTTAACCACTCTAGTTTCTATATTTATTCATCTAACTCTGCCTATCAATAACCTTAGCCAATGCTAATAAAAATATACTATAGCCACTAAGTCTTTAAAGCAGTTCACTTATATAAAGAATCTTTAACTTTGTATTAAACCTTTTAGAATCTTCTATATCTTATTCTTATAGCTGATCTGATATTGCTATGATTAAAACCAACACTAATGGTCAGGGTGTATCATTAAACTGCTATGCCTTTGTAGAGTTTATCCCAATCTTAGTACTAACTTTACAACATATCTCTACTATTTTGATATTTAATTCAAGTTCCACCAAGCTCTCAAACCAAATAGTCTAAAAAAGCAAGTTATAACCATGCATCTCTAGTTTACATGTTTGCTGACATGTAACCTTTTTTTCTAAAACAGATTCTGGCAGCCTGGTTGGTTCTATTCAGTCTCTCTTCAAAAGCTGGCTCTTTGCCTAGTTTTACAAGTTCTAGCTTTGTTTTATAGATCTAGTCTTTACAGTAGCACAATCAAAAGTTCAGATTACCTCTCTACTTGGATCTTTCAAATGAACTTTCATTTTCCTACCTGGTTCCTATAATTTATATGATCTAAGGACTTATCTTAGATTCATACTATCCAGTACTGGTTTGTGTTTTTTTATACATTGTTGTATAAATGTCTAGACCTTCCAGTAATGCTAATATAACACAAGTTGCAAGTATCTTATTCTAACTAATCACAGAAGACAATTAACTATAATACAAAAAGAATTGCAAATTTTTCATTGTTACTGAGATTTGAACTCTAGACCTGTCACTTGGGAGTTGACAACCTATCCACTTTACTAGATCACCACACTCCACCTTGCTTATATCTTTATTGATAGTTTTTAAAATTAGTAACTTCATAGAGTTACTATATACAAAAACAATTTTATATAAATGCTATAGCTAAGGTTAACACTTACAGTTAGAGCTAACTATTAAACTGCTAACTATATATAATTAACTTAAATACAAATAAAAAGAAAACTATATTTAAAAATAAAGCTTAGACATATTTATTTGCAATTTAAACCTACTAGAGTAATCAAGATTTACCTAAATTTGAATAATTAAAATATAGTCAAAAGAGATATTGTATTTAATCCAAAAAATAGTCCATATATTAATTTTTCTAATAGCATAACTAATAAGTGAACATGTGTTGAAGTTTGAATGTACTTGATCAGATAGTTCATATATATATAAATATATATATATTTGATAGTTGTATTTAGTTTATCTATTATAATTAGTTTGAGTTAAATGTTTCAAAAAAAAAGGTTTAAGACCTTGTTGTTTTTTTTTTTTTTTTTTTTTTGCTTATGCTAAGGTCTTTTAGTTATGGCGGCTACTGCCTTTATTGTGAATTCAATTATGATTACATAACTTGTACAAGGTTACC